AGCGATGATTCCCGCAGATCGAGATCGCCCGGAGATTTTTCTCATCATGATTCGCGAGGAGCGGTGCTGACATGTTTTCCGCCTCGTCATCCAACACCCTCGCCAGACCCCAAATTCGTCGGTGAGTGTTTCGGGTGCACTCCGACTCCGTTGTGAGACGGGGGACTGACCTTGAGCGTTGCTCCGAACAGCCTCGCTCATTTCGGCGCTCCCGCTCGCCTCGCCGCCGCACCAGACCAAGGCGACCGAGACGCTCGCTCTGCTCGCGTATGCCCTGACCAACATTGCGCGCGAGACCGAGTTCTTCGACTCGCTGCCGCCCCGCTTCCTCGTCGACCTCGAGGCGGACCCGTCGCCCGAAGAGCGCGACGTCCGGTTCAAGACCAACCTCGGCAACCTGCAGGGCAAGATGATGCGGCCCATCACGCGCGCCTTTGTCGACTTGCTCATCTCGACCGGCGCCGAAGCCGGCCGGATCGACGGCGGCATGGAGGAGGGCATCGTCCTCCTGTGGGCCATGGAAAAGGTGGGCGCGCCCGTTTTGACCCGCTCTCAGAACAACCGAGCTGACAATCTGTGGGATCATCTGGCAGCTGTACAACACCGCCTGGCGCTACGCCGCGTCCTTGTCTCCGAATCCGGCCTCGTCCCGGAACCCGTCCGACCCGAGAACGTCGGCCGCGCTCGACGAGCTGATCGACAACTGGACCAACGAAGAGTTTGACGAGTTTGTGCGCGAGTGCGAGCGCGAAGTTGACAAGCTCGAGCTCGTCGAGGGTACCGACCAGTGGGAGCGTGCCGAGGAGGTCAGTCATGCCTCGCTTGTTTCCGGCGCGAGGATGATTGCTCACCTCTTGTCTTTCCCAACCCGCCGCAGATCTTCAAATACGTTCTCTACCTCGAGCAGCGTTTCTGGCCCGACCTCTAAAGCACACCCGCATCCCCCTTCTCGGACTGGCTCCGACTCGTGCGCCCCCGTTTTTTTTTGTCGATAGATTCTTCTCCTTTTCCGTACACAGCATCACCCGCAAACAAATCCACCGCACTCATTCTTTGTCGACTTGTACATGCCGCTCAACCCCCTCTCTCTAACCCTCGGCCGGTCCCGCCTTTTTACCTCGTTTTCCGCTTGCAAATTGGAAAAAAGAAACAATCTTGCTACCCACTGCGGAGGAGTGACGCCGGTAGACAGTACAGTATAAGTCTTTGATCGCTCGTGAGCTTCGTTCGTGCGAGGTGCGTGCGTCGTCCGAGGACTCCGAGACGGCTTTCGAACCTCTCGTTCCTCCTTCGTTCTCCCTCGCATCTACACTCAGACCCCCGCCACCGAGCTCGTGCTGGGCCTGCTAGTCGACTTCCAGTCTAGACAAACGACGCTAGCGCGAGCGCGCTGACCGCCACGGCGTCGCCGCTGGTTCGCTCGCTCCTCTCCCAGACCGACGACGGACGCTTCATCAACTTTCCGCCTTGCAACGCCAGTCCGAAGCTTCGAGCGCGCGCGACCCTAGGAGGGGGCTTTCGACGCTTAGATACACCCCTCGCATCAGCTCCGAGCGTGCTTCTGCGAGCGCTCGCCGACCGTCTTGCGGTCCGCCACTCATTTCCGCACCCAGCTCGCGACCTCCAACGCGATCTCTCCAACGCGCGGGAGTGACTCCAGGCGCTTCTGTTGGAAGTCGAGATCTATCCCGGGACCGGATTTGCAGCGCTTGCAAGAAGCTTGTTCGAAAAGAGGTACGTCAGACGTTTGATTTTTTCCCCGTTAAGCTTTTGGGGCCCCCTTTTCTCCCATTTAAAAAGGCTATGCACCCCGTACGTACGGCAAAAGCTGATCCAACCGTGATTCGAACACGGGTATCCGCAGGATTGGACTATGCATACGGGAGGGTGAGTCCCATGTACGAGGAACCACAATGCGGTGCCCTAACCAACTAGACTATTGAATCTTGACTAATTCGAGTATACGGGCAGGTCCGGAATTGCCAGACATATAGACAGTCGCAAAAGCGAGTCGAAACACGCATCGCGAGGCCGCCGGCATCGCGGAAGGACGTTTCGCCTTCTCGAACGAAAACCTCCCGAAATCCCCGTCCGACCGCCGTACACCAGGGCTATGCAGCGTCCAAACGGTCAGAGTGGGTATCTGCACGAGGCGGACGATGCCAGGGGGGCGAGGGACGCGAGATCGGCGCACCACTCTGCCGCCGCGGCCCCTCATCCTGCGGCTCGCCCCGGCTCCGGTGCTTCCCCGTCGGCTTCCGCCTCGCCGGGCTCGCGTTCTACTGCAGGAGGGCAGAGAGCGGCAGGCTATACCCCGGTCCGAACGGGCGAAGCGACGAGCAAACGGAGTGCCAAGGCCTGCTTGTACTGCAGGAGAGGCAAGTCGCGCTGCGACGGACTTGACCATTGGCCGTGTCGACGGTGCCGGTACGTACTCGTTCAGTGAGCGATAGTGGCCGAGGGACTGACTTTTTTCCCGAGGACGCACAGAGACAACGGCATCGAATGCGTCTTTGAGGGCGTTTCGGCAGAAGAGCTGCGCGAGCGCATGGCGACGAAGCGAGAGCCCGACGCCGATGCGGACCAATTGCCGATACCTCGTGCTATTCACTCGGTCGATCCCAACTCGCTTCTCGAGGTCCGCCTCGCTCGACTCGAAGCCGAAATCGAGACTGTGCGGGCTTCGACCCGAGCCAACGCGAGCAAGATCGCTCGCTTGGAAGAGCGGCCAAATGCCGGCACGACGTCGAACAGCAATGCGTCGCCGCCCGAGCGCGCCAACTCGTCCAATGTGCGGAGCGCACCCGCCTTCCCTCAATTCGCCAAAGACGCTTTCGAGATGTTCTGGGACATGTACGCTCCCCTTGCCCCGTACATCGTCAAAGAGACGGACGATTACGAAGTGGTCCACCAACGTTCGCCGTGTCTGATGCATTGTATCATGTGAGCCGACTGCCCAGCTCTCAGGTTACCGGATCGCGCGCTGACAAGTTCCCGAGCAGAGCCGTCGCTTCCCGCCACTCTGCAGAGAAGGAGCTCGTCGAGCTGAATCGCAGCGAGGCACTGCGCCTCATGCGCGAAACTCTGTACGCCGACAAGCCGGTCACGCTCGACGACCTCAAAGCGCTCCTCGTGTTCAACGCCTGGCTCGGCCGAGGCGCGCCTCCCGGGCACACGGTCACTCTCGCACTCCAGCTCGACCTGCCGAAATGCCTCGAGCGACTCCTCGAGTCGATCACGCAACCCCCCGAGAAAGCCGCCGAAACGTTCGAAGAGTTGATGCCCGCGGTCCGAGTGTGGCTCACGCTCTACGCGCAAGACCTCTGGCTTTCGTTCGCGACGGCTCGACGCGCACTCGTCACGATCGACCTCTCCGTCACCTCCGCTCGACTCCTCCTGCACTTTTCGGCTCTCCGACCCGTCGACGCCCGCCTCATCGCACAGTCGGAACTCGTCACAATCCTCGGTGTCGTCCAAGAATCGTTCCTCAAAACGCAGCGTCACTCTGTCGAGCATACGATCCACATCGTGCAGCAAGCGAACGCTCACCTCGAGCAGTGGATCGCCACGTGGAGCGCGTGGACCAAAGGCCAGCAGGAAGAGACCGGCAACTTTGTCCTCTCGAGCTTTTCGATCATGCTCCAGGCCGCGCGATTCTACATGAACACGCTCGGCCTGCGAGACGTCACCTCGTCCGACGAACTTTTGCCGATCCATCTGCCATGTCTGCGGACCGCGCTCGACGCGGCGGTGCGGGTCCAAGGTGCGTGTGATGTTCTCTCTCGGGGCATGTGGCTGGCTCACCTGACTTGGCACTCTCGGCTTAGGCATCCATCGCGCGCACAAGATCGCTCACTCTGCCGAGATGACGCTTATCGTGCTCTCGGTGCGCTGCAGAAAGCTTTCTCGGGCGGCTTGAGCAGCATGTTGACCTTGTTTACCCCGCAGAGCTGCGCCCTCTTCCTGCTCAAAATGATCAAGCTCGCGCCGAACGCTTTCGCGAGCACGCCGTCCCCTTCCTACCCATCGTTCTCGACTCTCGATATGACCGCCTTGGGACACGCCCACGCCGCGCACTTGTCGCCCGCCGACCCAGTCCAATCTGCGTCGTCTCCCGACACGGCAGCTTCGCCCCTTTTCGTCTCGACGCCATCTATCAGCCAAGCGCTCGAAGCTGCCCGGCATTCCGCCGCCGTGCTCGACTTCGGACCGCCCGATAAGCGCAGCTACGCGCAAGCCGTGCACGCAGCTTTGAAGCGGCTCGAAGGCGAAATGGGCGACGCTGTCCCCGACTCGGCCAATGGCAAGCGCGCCGCAACGAGCTCGGACGAAACGCCGAAACGGCCTCGACTCGACGGGCCTGCGCAGGCCGGTACGCCGTTTTGGCCGACGACAGTGTCTCCCGGGCCTTCGGCAGCGCTGGACGCGCTTTCGGCGCCGACAAGCGCGTGGACATTCGGCCACGCCTCTCCGTTCACCGACCTCGCAGCGATGGACGGTCCCGCGATTGCAGTGGACGGGGTCGCTGAAGCCGGACCGTCCGGCAACGGGGTGCGCGAGCTGGACGAGTTGACGATAGCTTCCCTCGTCGGGACGGACAGTTTCTGGTCCTGGACTTCCTCTCTTCCCGGCGAGAGCATTCAGCCCCTTCTGTAGCATAGTCGGACACAAATATTTGGGCACTAATTGACACGACGTCTATTGAGTTCTACGAAGTGTACCGGAAGAACGGGTTCTGCAGATCCGTGAGGTCGAGGAAGGCGACGCGGTCGCTCTCGCGCTTGATGTCCTCCGGCGTCCAAGAGTTGTTCTCGGCCATCTGCTGCACTGCCAGCGCCTTGCGCTTGTTGAGACGTTCCGTGTAGAGATACATGGGCAGGGCGACGGGGAAGAGGACGGCGAGGAGAGTCAAGAGCGCGATCTTGCCCGGCAGGTAAGACGGAGCGTCTGCCGCCTGGAACGCTTGACTGCCGGCTGCATTGCCACCGGCGAAGGCGACGAGCATCAGGGCGTTGGTGATGGCTGTAGAGCTGTGCGTTAGCTCCGTATCTTGTAGTACTGAGAGCTGAATCAACTTACATCGCTTCGACGATCCGGCGACATTCGAGCTCGACCAAGAGTAGAGGAAGGCGATTCCGGTGATGAAGGTTTGCGCCAGTAGAATACCAGCGAGCAAAGGACCCTTGTTGCTCTTGTTCTCCGACGCCGTGCCCGAGTACGCGACGAGCAGCGCGAAGCCGACGATGGACGGAAGAAGAGTCGCCGCGAACGGCAACATTCGGGCCTTGCGTCGGTCGGCCCAGTAGGCGGTCGACAAGGTGGTGATGATCTGCATGGCGCCGCATGGCATGTTCATGAGCAGCGCCTCCTGTGAAGTATAGCCGAAGCTCTTGATGAGGATCGACGTGAACGAGGTGATGGCGGAATTCGGGACGGAGATGATTGCCATGAGCGAGAAGAGGAGCCACGTCTTCGGGTCCGTCAAGGCTTCGATAGCCTGGGCACGCTTGAACTTGTGCGAGATGGTGCCCGACTGGCCGACACGGATCCGCTCGAGCGCGACGACCTTCTCGCGGGGAGAGAGGAAGGTGGCGGTCGCGGGCGAGCTCGGCAAGAAGAGCACAACCAGAACGCCGACGACGAAGGCGAGCCCTCCGAAGAGGTAGTAGAGCTGTTGGGAGAGATGGCTCAGCCTTTCGAACAGAAGGAAAGGCGAGCAGGGGCGGCACTTACGATTCGCCACGGTTCGCGTCCAGGCTGCCGGTTCTCGACGTGCGAAATGCCCCAGGCGATCAAGCCACCAAGGATGGCAGTTATTCCGTTGCAGACGTAGAAGCTGGCGATGCGTTTCGCCTGCTCCTCTTTACGGTAGAAAGACGCGACGAGGGCGATCATGATCGGAGCGACGACCGACTCGAAGGCGCCGAGCAGGAGCCGGAAGACGAGGAAGGGAGCGAATGCGCCGGACGCGGCATGCAGGGTCAGACACGCCGCCCAGATGAGGATGTTGACGCCGAGGCTAGCGAGCTGGGTCAGCGATAAGCTCGGATTGACATTGGTGCAGGATGAGACTCACTACCGCGCGATGGGAAAGCGCTGAGAGATGATAGACTGCGGGATCTCGGCGATAAAGAAGCCGACGTAGAACACTGCCACGATGATCGTGTAGTGCGAGCCGCTGATGGGGAAGCCGCCGACGACGGAGGCGTAGTTGATGCCTGCAAAACGGTCTGAGTGAGTGGGAAAACGTAAGACATAGCCCAGGAACGCGGCCCGCTTACTGTTCTTATCAAGGTATTGACTGAAGTAGATAATTGCGAGTAGCGGCAGTATACGGCGGTCCAGTTTTCGTCGCACAGCGTCCTCTTCGTCGGCGGTGAAAGCTTGGGCGACGTCGCCCGCCACCTGGGCCGCCTCGTCCGCGTCTCCATCTTCGGCAATCACATGTAGACCCCCACTGGCGGGCACAATGCGACCGTAGCCCTCTTCGGCCTTTTTCTCCGTGGTCGACTCGGTCAAGGTTGAGGTCACGGTGGACAGCGCGGACATGGTCGCTCGAGGTCGCCTGAGATTTGCGAGAGCCGTCTGAGCAAGCTAGTCGGTGAAGAAAGGAGCAGTGTAGTCGTCTGGATAAGCAGCGGGAAGAAGAAGAATGCAGCGTCGATAAGCTCCGGTGGCAATGCGCCGGAAGGGGAGATAGAGATAGCTGCGCGGTCTTCTGCCGTCGGTCACTTGAAGTCCTGCCGCAGGCACAGGGGTTGCGCCACAGAGCCCAGATACTCCAGTCTGGGCGATTGCGAGGGAGGATAATTGAAATCAGCTCCAAATCAGGCCGGATCAGCCGGGGAGAGATAAGGAGCGTCGCCTCCACTCATGGCGCCGACGGCACGTTGTCCGGACCTCGGGAAGCATTCTATGCACGCAGCGTTGAGCATCTTGGTCCTGA